TTTGTGCGAGACTAAGTTATATCCATATATCGGTATATACTGAGTGATAAGAAAAGGTAAACACCTACGTATGCTTATTAGAATTAAAGAGTGTTTTACAAATCGGCTTATCTTGTCATGAACAAGTGATGAAATAGTCAGATTCTTCTGTTAAGTTTTTGTACATTTAAGGTGTCAGTTAAATGTTAAATTTCGTGTAGCTTATTGGGAAGCCTTTTTGTGATTGCTCAAAATGTCTAGAGTGCGTGGAATTTACCGGGTGTCCCAGCTAAGTGACTTTGAGAGGGGTCCAATTGTCGGGTTGCGTGAAGCCGGTCTATCGATAAGAGAAGTTTCTAGGAGGACCAACAGATCCTTATGCAGTATACTGCAGTGTGAACGAGCATGGACTCAGGAATACCGACGACAGCAAGTGAGGGAAGACGTGACACACAATTCGACAGAGAGCGTTACGTTCACTACACCGTGGAGCTATGGTATGAGGTGCTATTCCTTATGGTAGCAGATTATCACTAATTTTCATCAGACGCTGTATTCAGGAAGTAGTGCACCGATTTTTCAGCAAGACAATGCGAGACCGCATGTTGCCAGAGCATCGTTAGCCTTCATTGATCAACTTCGCATCAACCGTTTACCTTGGCCACTACGATCACCTGACCTATCTCCAATTGAACATGTCTGGGACATGATAGGTCGCAGGCACTTGCATTTGCAACATTCTCCACAAACTTTGGCAGCTCTTACTCATGAAGTTGCTGTCGCCTGGAATGAGATACCACAACAGGATATCGACCACCTTATCAGCACGATGTCCAGGCATGTCAATGAGTGTATAAGAAATCGTGGATCCTCAAGACCCCATTGAACCAGCTTCTGCAGTCAGTTGACGAATCAAGCTGGAAATTTAATCATTCTACTTGTTAGGGACACTGAACATACGAGTATATGCCAAAAATTATTAAATTCCGATTAACATACGTAGGTGCTTACCTTTTTTTGTCTCTCAGCATAAAACAGCTATTACATATCATGTACTGAGCCGCCAATACGCTGCAATACGATTCGGCTGAACAACAAGTAATAAAGCTTCCGTTCGTCCGACCACAAGCAGCTAAACATGGACAGCTGTGCTCTTGGCAATTCCTGAGCATGGTGAAGGCTTGGTGTCAGGTAGAACCAAACTCAAGTCGAGCAAATATCTATCCAGAGTATAAGGTCCATCGAAGTAAGAGGAGTAAGATCTCAAGCAAACTTCCATTCTGTGGCCTCCCAGAAAAGCTTTGCAGATGGGTGGCTGAATTTATCTCCGGCCGCAAGGTATCCATCGTAATTGACGGGTTCTCTTCTTCATCCCACAACGTCAACGCGGGTGTTCCTCAGAGATCGGTCTTCACTCCGACACTGTTCCTTTTACATATCAATGACCTCCTTTCCTGCACGATCAACCTAATCCACAGTTTCGCTGATGACAGCACTCTACATGCAGGAACTCAGAGTGACAAGCCGATCTCTGTCGCTGAGCTGGAAAAAAGAAGACTAGCGGCGACTTCCGACGAGAGGCCTGGAGGTTATCACTGCTTGGGGACGCAACAATATTGTACAGTTTAATGATTTCAGAACACAGTACTGTATCTTGACGAACAAAAAGCGTCCTAGCGCTCATCCGGTTTCGATGGATGGCCGGGTTTTGCCAAAAGGCCATTCATTTCGGCTGGTCGGAGTCCAGATCACCGAAAACCTGTTCTGGCACGAACATACTTTGTCAATAGCGGCAGCTGTTGGGAAAAATGCTGTCCAGTTAAGGGCTGTCGGACCGATCGATGACTCTTCTCTAACAGACACTCTCGGGACCCTTTCGCACCGGCGAGCCGTCGGCTATCTAGCTCTCTTCTACTGCTACACCAACGGGCTTTGCTCCTCAGAGCTCTCTTGCATGATGCTGCCGCGCGATGTGCCTGCCAGACAGACCCACCTGACTTTGGCCTCCCATCCTAACCGTGTCGTGCCAGAATTGGCCGATACGACCGCTCCTTTGTCCCGAGGATTGTGAAACAATCTATAGGAGCAAGCTTTTCCCAGTTCTAGTAACCTTCTGGTGCTATAGTAGATACGAATAACACGAAACAGCTGTCTGCATGGTAGCGGTCTGTGGGCGGATGAACGAAAGCTTTATAACTTGTTCAATAGCGAGTATACCGTATCTACTATGGCACCAGAATCGACGGGATCTAGCGGTCACAGTAGTTATCCGGCTAACAATGTGAATTTGAATCAAGTTCCAAGAGAGACCTTGCTGTTTTTACTTTCGCAATGGACGATTCTGGCAACAAATGACACTTTGTGACGTCTTATTTGAATAACCCAAACTGGAAGCTGTGTATCTCGGAAACTACTCTTATAAGAACTTGCGGCCCATAGACATTTTCGTTCTGTATTGAGATCTATAACATAGTACATTTTCAAACAAAAAATAGCGGCAGGTTATTCCCTATAAAGTTTCTGTGCTGTCTTCTGCTCCGCAGTATACACTCCGTCAGTAATCAGCGCATTCTACATGAATAATAGCCAATCATGTACTGTATTCCGGAGTCCAAAAGTGGAACTAAAAGATACTTGCGAAATCTAGGAAACATTCTTTATACCAAAAATGATTGGACTGCATCAAGTTAGTAGAACTGGGAAGAACGTTCTCACGTAGATTGTTCTACAATCTCGACACGCTTAGAACAAAAAAGCGGTAGAACTGGCCTGTTCTGGATGCACGAAGTTCAAAACGGTTATGATGGGAGGCCGAAGTCTGGTGCTTCTGTCTGGCAGGACGATCGTGCGGCGGCAGACATTAGTAGAACACAAAAATGAATTTAGTAATCTATTTTGGAAAGAGCTAGAATGCTGTGCGACTACATGTGCCAGAAATGTGTGTACAATCTGCAATATTCTGTGGAGCAAGTGCCAAACCTTCCAGGTTGCACCATGTGTCTGACACCATTGTACGGATATGAAAGGAAATGTGTGCCGAAATAAATATGCCTGGTGTATGCCGTGAAACATGTGCCAGTCTACAACTTGTTCCGCAACATGCATCTAACACATGTGCCTACAAATTTGCTTTGGTATAGAGTAGAAGCAATGTATAGGTATAGTCTGCGAAAATCAGAGGCTCTCCAATTTTGGTCTACTAAAGTTTAAAAAATGCGGTAACATGAGCTTCTCTTAAAATACTCTTTGAAGTATATTAGGGGGAAATTTTGACATTAGTTTGGTTCCTTGACAACCTCAAAATAAAAATGTTCAACCAAGCTTTAAGCACTGAACTTTCTAGGGTTTCACAGACTTTAAACCGCTTATAGCTGAAAAACGATCAATTCGGGGGGGGGGTTATTAAACACCTTTTTTTTTGTTCAGTATGATTCTCCAAATCTGAAACAAATTTGGATGGAGTGAAAGAAAATATTTTTCAGTAATTTGTTTAAAAAAATGTTCAAGCAATTTTGTTCCGGATATCACATTAATTGATCAGCTTGGAATAAGTAGCTGATAAACAAGTTACCCACAATTTCTAGGGACTTCCACGATATCGGATTATCATTTTTAAATAGATGCTGAGATACTAAATGAGCCTAAAACCTCGTACAAAATAAGGGTCCAAACTCTATTTTTCACTCATTTGCACATTTATTGAATCTTAACATATATTCTATAAAAAGGTGGCTGGTCGGTAACAAGGAACAAATTAAAACAATTTTTTAAACAAATGAAAAAATGTGTTTGCGCCGGACATTTCTGGTATTAGGTTCTTCAGATCATTCTGAACAAACAAGGTTCTTAATAGTTTTTCTCCAAAGTTAACCATTTTCGAGGCATAAGTGATTTAGCAACTAAAAACCCCAAAAATGGGAATGTTCAGTGCTTAAAGACTCCATTACAAAATTATTGCTTTTGAGGTTTCCAAGTATCCAAATGAAAGCTAAAAGCTTCTCCTACAAGAGTGTTTTTAGATTGGTTCACTTCAAAGCTTTGTTAGTTAGGCCGAATCTGGCGAACTTGTGATTTTCGCAATCTGTACATCTGTGGGCGAACGGTAGAAGCAGACTCTTGCATTAGCGCTATGTTGCGGAGCAGGAATTTTATGTAGCTTTGAAATCCACCAAACCACATTAAAAGTGGAGATAAGAGGCATCTGGTTATTATCGTGGATTTCCTCGGTTCTACAAGCCTAATAAAAGAGACGTTTTATGGGACATTTCGTTGGTAACATCAAGGATTCTGGAACAAAGTAAAGGCTGAGATATATGAGGTATTGGATATTTATTAGTTCGAATTATATGTACTATTATGAATTTACAGGGCTTTTGATACATAAGGAGGTGAAAAGACAAGTCTAAGTACCTCGGCCCTGTATCGGAGGTCAATAAATGATTTATAGAAATCTTCTTCTACGAGGTTGTTCTGCATTGTTTATACCCTTAAACAGCAACCATCAAATATAAATGAACCAAATTTTGTGCGAAAAAGTAACTTAACATGAAGAATTCAAAAATTATATTTGCAAGGTTGTCAAGGTTATAGTTTTCTCTCTATGTTAGGGAATTTTAAAATTTTAAATGAATTACTCTAATTTTTACTATTGTATCATCTTTATTATGACCTCATATTATCTTTTTTTTTACTCCTCTCAAGTTCGGAGATATGGCGTCACCCTTAGTTTCATTCCTTACACTTGCATCTTAGTAAGAAATCGCCCGTTTGTTTGTTTTCCAAAATAAACAAGAAGACGTGTTATTCATTTGTTTGTAACGTCATAGAGACTTCAGAACCATAACTATTAGAAATGCCAAAACAACTCAAAAGTGACAAATATTGCGGGATTAACGAAAAACAGTGAATCAAAATTCTTGTTTTTCGAGGAAATGGAGATAAACAAAGATCTTATCAAGAAGTGTTAAATTTGCTTAATGCGCTCTACCCCAAAAAACAAATTAAAACATCTACCATCGCAGGACAGTAATAAACTTTCTTGAAACCGGCGTAGTGAAAAGAAAACCTGGATCAGGGAAACCGAAAACTGCTGTTAGTGATGAGAGTAAGTTAAATGTTCTTTTACAACTCGAAGAAAACCCTAGGACAAATACCACACAATTACACCTTATTCGCGATTAAGGCAGAAATCTTTCAGAAATATCTTGGCCGATGAAAAACTGAAACCCTACAAAATAATTTACCTCCACCAACTGCAAGAAGATGATCCAGATCGTCGAGCTCAGTTTGCAGAAACTGGGATGGAAATGATAACAACCCCAATTTCCACAAAAAATTTTGTTCAGCGATGAAGCTGCCTTCTGTTTAAATGGACAAGTGAATCGGAACAACTGCAGATTCTGGAGTAGAGAAAATCTTCACTGGATGTCGGAACTCCTCACTCAATACCCAGAAAAAGTTAATGTTTGGGCGGGAATCTTCGGCAACCATATCATTGGTCATTTTTCATAGATGGCAATTTGACGGCACAAAAATATCTTGATCTCCTTAGAAAACGCATAATACCCGAAATTAGAAATTTAAATGAAAATATGGACGAAACTTGGTACCAGCAATTTCCAGGAAGATTGATTGGAAGACGTGGCACTCTGGAATAGCCACCTCGTTCCCCAGATATAACCCCACTAGATTTCTTCTTTTGGGGTTTTCTGAAGTGCAGAGTTTATAAAGATCGGGCCAATGATTTAGAAGAACTTAGGCAAAAGATTTTGGATGAAACCGCACAAATTACTCCAGACATGTTATCGAATACTTTGGCCGAATTTTACGATCGCCTCGAATATAGTTTAGCCAACGATGGTAGTGATTTTGAGCACTTGATTAAGTCGATAGATATTTTGTTATTTTTCAATATTATGTTATTATTTTGCACTAATATTTACTTGTTTGATAATTAAGTTTCCTTATTCCCTTTCTTTGACTTTTTTTAAATAAAATCTTGGAAACATCGCAGATGCAACTCATGAACTTAGAATGTCCAGTTACTCCCCTGTACTAATTTTGACGAATTACGGTTGGATCGTTTTCGAGATAATTGACCTTGCCGTTTTTGTATTCATTCCGAACGAAGCATGATGTCATATCTCCGAAATTGATGGGTAAAATAACGATAATGTCAGGTCGTAATAAAGCTGAACAGGCATTACAATAGTAAAAATCAAGGTATTCCATTTAAAATTGTAAAATTCCCTAACATAAAGAGAAAACTATAAACTTGGCAACCTTGCAAATATAATTTTTGAATTATTCATGTTGAGTTACTTCTTCGCACAAAATTTGGTTTTATATTTGACGGTTGCTGAGATAATCCACCGTTCCGGTTTTTTCTACTAACCCTGCATAAGGTGTGAGATAAATTCTAGGTTCCTCAATAGTGGCAATAGAAGGATATGAGATAATGATTAACATGATGCGATATAATAATAATAATGTTGTACAGAGTACATAATTATGTAACTCGGCAAACTGGAGGCAGCAATTATTTCACACTGCCATTTATTGACCGATTTCAATATTTTTTCACTGGTTGATTATATCTCATCTAAATTTTCTCGGCTTCATTCTTTTCGCGAGTTTACTAATTATTGGTATTAGTAGTCTATAACTTTCGATTTACATGTGCATGAAAATCAGTTGCAGCAGCGCATTTCCATAACTAGTTCGCTTCCGTCCGGGTTTTGGATCCGACAGCACCTCTGCCAGCCAACCAACAGCGGCGATGTCTTCAAACGCACCGGAAATTGGACCACGTTAATTAACATATTACCACGTCGGGTACATCGGCCTTTCAATAATGTCCTTTGCTGGTTTTGAACTATCGGGTGGTATTACCAGCCGGTCTATCGAATGAAGCAAGTAGTGATGGACTTTAACTGGAGATGCATGGGATACTGGATGTTTCCAGTAGGGACTTTTAAACGTTTTAAAAAGTCTTGGCATGATAATAATACGAGGTGGCGGAAGTTCTTCACAATAAAACGATATTTTCAATGGGAAGGCAAGCGGTGACCATTTTCATGTTTGTGAGTGTTCATAGCGCTTTCGATAGCTTTTCGCAATATTCGAGTATTAATGACGGCGATTTCACTGCGAATATTGTGATTCAAGTAGACAATGAGCCGTATTCATAAAAGAGAAGCATATCCTCGGAAGCATAAGGTAAAAGTATAAGGTCTTCGGAGAAGCATATCCTTGTTTTCATATCCATAATGATTACCTTATACTCGCGAGGATATCCTTCAAGAAGAAGTAAAAGGTTGACTGGTATTTGTATCTTGAGCGACATGTCCTGACTTGTTTCAGCTTGTAGTTGACGTGGGAGTTCATTCACTCACCATTATTGACAGTTGTACTCCAGAGCTTACACAGACCGTTCCGTATTTTTACTGGATACAGTTTTTTATCAAATTAATAAGCAAGGCATCCTCAAGTGATGAGGAAACTAAAGAAAATAATGGCAACGACCTGCAGTTCATCGCAGATGAAATTGTCATTGCTCCCTTTATTTTGCAAAAGTCACACGTTCCAAAAATAAAAATGAGAAAGGACGATGCCTTGAAGAAGATGTTGAAAAAATACGAATCAACATTCGGTAAACCATTAGATACTGAAGGCTTGTTAAAAAAAATCAACAACATTAAATCAAGATTGAAGAAAAATACAGATCTAAAAAAAAACTGGTAATAAAGCAATTAAATTTTTAGATTGAGTAAGAAAGCTTCTGAACAGCGTTCAATTATTCTTGTTTTAAAAGCTTATTATAATTTATTTCTGCACCTGGAGTAGGATTTCTGAAGGAAGTCATAAGGCATGGCTCACTACCATAACCGTCATCGCTAAGTAGTCCATTTGCAACATTTGCTTTATTTATTAGCTGTGGTCTAGTCTGTGAATTTATTCATATTCTGGAATCATGCACTGACCCAGGCCAACTGACATGAACACTTGTGAACATCTCTCTGGCATCACAAGTGGCTTGCACATTTAAAGTAGGTTTTCCTTTTCGGTTGATATACTCATCTCCCTGGCGCGATTTGGTTTCAGGATAACTATATGTGTGCAATCAATTACACCAATTGCTGCCGTAAATGTATACATGCTTTGCCATATCCGCTTGGCCTCCATCAGTTCATGGTTGGTAGTTAGAAACTTGATCCATTCGTTCGACTGTGCAACTATGCTGTTCACAACTCTATCTACAGTCCGAGATACCGTTGCTTGACTAACACCTAGTTCCTGACCAATACCTAGTTGATATCCAAGGTCACCGAGATAGCGTAGACATATCTTCATTTTATGAATACATGAAAGTGCTCCTCCTCGAGTTTCCTCATTCTCAAATAAAAATGTGTCCACAAGCCATTGTACATTTGCTTCGTCGAATCGATATAATTTTTTGAAGTCACGATCCAGTGAAGGTAAACGAGGGTTGTACGTTTTAACATCCCTAATATCCACATCCATCATCGTTTGACCACCTTTCGTTACGAAGTTGAGTCTGCTACTGACCACACTTTTTGAAGGATATGCTTCCTATCCCAAGTATAAGGTGAAGATTATGAATATCCTTTTACTTATGTCACTACTGTGAAGGATATGCTTATACTAAAAAAGCAAAAGCATTTACTTCAAATTATTATAAATACCATCTGGAGGATTTCCTTTGCAAGTACAAGGATATCCTTTGTTTTATGAATACGGCTCAATGTTCCTTGACCCACTCGCAAACAGAGATTCATTCAAGTATCCCCAAAGGTGTGCTAACATCGGCTGCGTAGGAGGCTAATTTAAATTAGTTATCGCCTTCTAATGTGAACCTTAGAAATCTCCTTAACAGAACCGCTAAACTCAAGGGCGCATTGAAGGATCTGTCTAGCGAAGGGGTTTAGCGGTGGTCACAGCATTCATGTTCGGGAAGATGTTCCTCTCAAATTGAAATACAGGGGGTGGGGAGGCGGTGTGCAGCTGCATGCCTAAATGCCTAAGCACTTAAGCAGCGCTTCTGAGTGCAAATGTCTTTGTGACAGTTGAGGACCGGGCGTGGGATATGTCTTGGATTGGGTGGGGACACATTTCACGATTCAGGTCTTGTAATTTTTACACCAAGATATAGCAACATACACCATTTTCTTGAAAACATGGCAGACTAAGGCCCTCGCGCCCACTTAAATGCGCCCTTGAAAAAACTACACCAATGAAGTGTGTGAGGTAGTTTAATCTGGCAGGTCTGGATAATTTTCCACAACTCTCATTAAAAAATGTTTTGGCATTACTCGATTTTAACCGACAGTAATGGAAACTAGACCTTCTTGTAAACTCTCAGCGTAAACGTTCAAGAGTTCCTCAGCACTGTGTATAGTCTTTGAGTACTAAAAAGACTTTTTACTTGTTGGCTTGAGTTGGCTTGTCCTTGATTCTGGGGTTTCTAAGCCTGAGTTAGTGACAATAGGCGCAGAATAAATAAAAGCACAACGGGCGTTCAGTTTGTACCAGTCTTTAGTCCCGATGGAGTTTTGAGAGCACCCTAGAAACATTTCCTCTTTGAAATAACATTACATATAGCAAACTGCCTCGTTTCATCGAATCTTTTGACTATTAACTTTGAATGTTTTGTCTTTTGACGATGTTCGGAAAATCGGTTTATTTGTTTCGTTGAGAGTTATCATATATAACTGACTGACTTAAATTGTGCGCCATTTTTGATACAGTCACTTCAGTAGGTGGCGCCATAGTAGTTGTTTTAAGCACAGGTGTCCAGTTCATCATGGAGCGCTACAAGATCCCGCAACGCGTCCGTATTGTTAAAGGGTTTTACTTAAATAATGAGTCGATTGTTGCAACGTTTCGGAAGCACAGTGCCAACACCATTCGTTAGTCGCTGCGGAAATTTGAACAAACAGGTGAAGCTAACTGTTTGTACTCCGGAAAATATCGAGAGAGTTCGTGAAAGTGTAGTGGAGCGCCCTGAGACGTCTACCAGACATCTTTCTCAAGAACTGGGTATTCGTTGCACGTCATTATGCACTATTTAAAAAAAGACTTGCA